CCGCCGGCTTACACACCTCCCAAGAAGCTCCGCGACCTGGTGAGGAGGGCTCTTTAGAGTCTAGGGTTCAGGGATTGTAGGTTAGGGTTTCGGGTTTGGGGTTCAGGGTTTCGGGTTTAGGGTTTGGGGTTTGGGGTTTAGGGATTGGGACAATTATCTTTTGGGGTTTAGGAGTTCGGGCTTACGTACACCTCTTGGGTTCGGTTGTGTGCAAGGTTGTCTGTATCCCTGTTGTCTCATTCGACTGCCCCTTTAGAGACTTCATGCTTCAGGATTTAGGGCGTATGTAAACCCTAAACCCTAAACCCTAAACCCTAAACCCTAAACCCTAAACCCTAAACCCGCAAACAAACACCCAAAACCCTTCGCCCCACCAAACCCTCAGCCCTTTGGCAACTGGGCCGCTTGGAAGTCACTGGCGCCGCGTCCACCTCGAAGGAAACTCGCTTGCAGAAGCAGGTGGCCGTATACCTCCCAATGAGGGCTGGTGGCGTTGTGCTAGAGTTGTGCTAGTGAGCCTTTGGTTTTGGGTTCGCTACTGCTCAAGGCTTAAGGTACGCAGCCTTTGGCTGGCTGGATGAGCGGACATCTTTCATGCAAGGCGAAGCGCGACTGCGCCCGAAACCTGAGCTCCCAAACTACTGACCTGTGTCCAGGAACATTTGGCATGGTGCAGGTTTAGAGTTTCGAGGGGGGAGTTGCAAAGTAGACAGCGTACGGTTTACAGACGGCGCCGTTCGACACGCTTCCAGCCGCAGGTATCGATGTTACATTGGGCCTGGTCTGACAACGATGTAATAACCCAAAACCAATGACCTTGACCCTGGTAACCGAATACCCGATGATACTCTGGCCTCACTTCCTAGGACTTTAAGACCTTCTAAACCCGAAGCTCACTTCCACGTGACGTGCCATCCCCTAGCAACCCAAAACCTTTTGGGCATTGAGTTTTGGTTGGGGTTTAGGAACAACCTTAGATCCGAAACCCCAAACCCCAAAACCCAAGCAACCCATATGAGCCACGCTGAAGCCAAGCCGATGACCACCCAGCCACCACCTCACCCAGCCACCCATCCGCCCGTCCACCCAAAAGATCGATACATATAGCATGTATCTGTACACGTATATATATGCCCGTATGCATACATGTGTATGTACGTATGTATGTATGTATGTATGTATGTATGTATGTATGTATGCAAAAAGAAAACATACGTACAGTCTGTGTGTGTGTGTAAATAAAAATGAATATAAAAAATGTGTATATATACATATATACAAACTGCTTTCGCCTTTTGCCGGATGGAAGTCTTAACGGGGCCAGCCCTGCTTAAGTCACTGAAGAGGCACTGGACAGCTCATTCACTAAAAGAAGCTGATCTGCAGCCTCCTCAAAACCCAAAGGTCCCCCAAGTCTTGGTTTAAGGCTTTAGGATTTAGGACTTAGAAACTAGGATTTAGGATTTAAGAACTAGGATGTAGGATTTAGGACTTAGGCTTTAGGATTTAGGATGTAGGACTTCGGATTTAGGAACTGGGATTCGGATTTAGGAACTAGGATTCCGGAATTAGGATCCGCCAAAAGGAGCACCTGCTGTTCGTCTGACTTATGGTCGGAGCCTGCATTGCAAGCGTCTTGCACAAACAAGATCAGCAGTTTCTAGCGCAAGGTGCTTTTGTGAATTCCACGACTTAACTTCGGCGCGCAGGGCTTCATTGCGGACGTGCCTGACTGACTCCTTGAAACTTTAAAAATTTAAGCCTTTGTGAATTTGGGAAAGGGCACCAGATTCTGAAAAATCCTAGAATTTGAGGAAACTCTGAAACAAAGGAAGTGGTCAAGTAGCACATAAAAAAGTTCTCTTAAATCTCTTACACATATTATATCTCTGTATATATATATATATATATATACCATGTATACATATATCCATATATACATATATACATATATACATATATACATATATACATATATACATATATACATATATACATATATACATATATACATATATACATATATACATATATACATATATACATATATACATATATACATATATACATATATACATATATACATATATACATATATACATATATACATATATACATATATACATATATACATATATACATATATACATATACATATACACATATATATATATATACATACCCCTGGAGCCCAGAAGGATGCTGCGAAGCTGCCGCACAGTGAAGGGGCTGCTGCCTGGGCGGCGGCTTAAGGGCCAAACGTGGGAGCGGCTTGGCTTAGGGGGCAGCTTGGCTTAGGAGGGTTTTTAAAACAGAGGGTCTTTAAAAAAGGTTTTCTTTTAAGAGGGTTTTTAAAAAACCCTCTTTTTTAAACCCTCGTAGGGCTTAAGGTTTGCCAACGTTCCGCGCACACCACCACGAGGGACGTGTGTTGTGGCGTGCGCCTAGGTTGAACGCTTCTTTCCACCCATCCACATCTCAACCTTGGCGGGGTTTAGGGTTTTTTCTTTGATTGTACGCTGGAGATGCGTGGGGCCGAAACCATGAAAACTTTCGTGGTCATTCATGGAGTTCGGAGGTTCTGCCGCACTTAATATGCTTCCGGGCTCAGGTCCTTTGCCCATTGCAGCGCCATGAATCATTGCTTTTACAGCGGCTTTCGGATTTGAGGCAGGACGGTGCAAGCAGCAGACAGCTATTACACTGCCGGGTTCGTCCCCAAACTACCAATATCCTAAATCCTGAACTTTGAATCCTGCTTTGGGGCCCCGTAAAAAGGCTTTCGGATCTTCACAGACACTGGAAAGCCTCTAGCCCCACATTCTGGAAAATCATACTGGAACCGGCCACTTTCGACCGAATCCTGGGGGACCGGGGCCACCCGGCAAACTGTACATTAAAGCTTCTTGCAAGGCAAACTTTCCTGTCAGATAGTTCTAGCCAAAGGGGTTTTGCCATTCTTTGACCAAAACTGGGGCGTTGGGTCGCAGGTTCTGTCAGGCCCCTGCAAGCCCAGGCTCCTTAAACATGCTCTGACAGCCTTCAACGGCACAGGGAGGCATTTAAGAAGCCCCGTCAGCCACGAAATCTGCCCCTAGATTCCGGACACTTTCTGCTGGGGAGCATCCCAGGGGGCCTCCTGAAAAATTTAAGCTTCTCAAGGCAAACTTTCCCTCTCAAGAAACAGAGTTTTGACTAAGCGGGGCGGGGGGGGGGGGTCTCCGAATACTATTTTGCATTGAAAATTTGAAAGAGACGACCCCGTTTGACCAAACCTGGTAACTTCACACACGCAGGTTTGGGGTTATTCTCTTTCAGGGCTTAGGGTTTAGAGTTTAGGTCTTCAGGGGAACTTGGAAAAAAATTGTCCGTTTGGGATTTAAATAGGCTACCCACCCTAAACTAAACAAAGGATCAAAGGGAGTCAGACTTTACCTATGAGGTCTGTGCCCTGAAACGGGTTCCTGAGTATACCCCCCTACCCTGAACCCAAAGCCCTAAACCCTAATGCCCCAACGGATACTTATGGTAAGTGTACCTACAACCCACTTCTGGGCCCCTTAAAAACCCCCAAGTACAACACTACCGGGTTATATGCCACCCTGCAGCCTCCCTAACCCCGAAACCCCCCAATCCCGCAAGATGCCCCCCCCCCACCCGCCCCCCCCCCCCCCCCCACCCCCCCCCCCCCCCAACATGGCCGAGCTACACCCCGAAACCCCAAACCCTAAACCCTCAACCCTAAACCCTCAACCCTCAACCCTAAACCCTAAACCCTAAACCCTAAACCCTAAACCCTAAACCCTAAACCCCAAACCCTAAACCCTAAACCCTAAACCCTCACCCGCGAAACCCCAAAGTCCCAGCTCTCTTCCCCGTCCCCTCCGCGAAGCCTCCACCCCTTTCGGTAACTTGAAGGGTCCTTGATCGTCAATCGAACCTTTATACTTAGGGTTCCCATGGCTCATACTTCCGAGAAGGAAGATTGCTGAAAACAAAAAAAAAAAAGGAAGCCCAACCACAACCGGCCCTGGCTTCTCAACAGCCCCCCCTCCCTCGCCACTGCAATATGAACCCTAACCCCAACGGCTAAACCCTAAACCCTCAAGGCTAGACCCAAACCCTAAACCCTAAAACAAGCAAGCCCTTAAACCCCAACCCCGAAACCCTAAAACCCTAAACCCTTAGCTGCAAACGCGGCCGCCGCCGTAGGGCGGCTGGCTTGCCCAAGATGGCTCCATGACAGCTCTCCGGTTCGGGTGGGGGACTCGGGGGTTGGGGTTCAGGGATTAGTGTCCAGGGTTTTGGGTTTAGGGTTTAGGGCTTAGGGCTCAGGCGAATCTTGCAAGGTTTAGAGGTTTAGAGGTGTTGGGGGAGGGTTTAGAGGTAGAGGGGTTGAGGGTTTAGAGGTTTGGAGGGTGGTGTAGAGTCGTAGAGGGTTTAGGATGCAGCTTGAAATCTTCGTTTGCCGGCTGGAGCCTTCCAGAGGTTCTGCTTTTCGGGGTAGGGTGCTTAGGGTTTCGGGTTTAGGTTCGCGTTTAGGGTTCAGGGTTTAGGGTGTCGGGTTTAGGGTGTCGGGTTTAGGGTTTAAGGTTCAGGCACCACATGAATGAGAGCTCCCTTATGGCTCCCTGAATTGGGGGACGCAAGGGCCCCCATGTTTCAGAACCCTCCAAACAAGGTAAGGGAACACATTCAGGGGCCTTGCAACTTCCCACAGGCCCGCAAACCTACACGCAGGACGCACGGAGTCAAAGCAGATACCCATCAAACAGCAAACAGCAGCTCACGTCTGATTTCAGGTGTAGGCGTCAACGATCTTCGGCACTCAGGGCGCCTAAAGTCCTAAACCTCAACCGTCCAAAACCTAAACCCCTGTGAGGCTTTTGGGCTTAGGGGTAGGGGTAGGGTTGAGGGTTTAGGGATGTTTGGGGTTAGGGTTTACGGTTTACGGTTTCGAGTTTAGGGTTTAGGGTTTGCAGAGATGCTCAGGAACTGGCCGTCCCTGTCTCGGGCTCTCTCGCGCTTCCTCCCAAGCTGGGGGGGTTTCGGTTTGAAGTCCAGGGTTTCTGAAGGGTTCGGGGTTTAGGGGGTTAGGGCCCAAGGATCTAGGGAGGACAAAAGTATCCTGTGCCTCGCAAAACCCTGAGGCCTAACCCCGAAAGCCTAGGCCCTCAAGCCTCAAACCCCGGAAGCCGCTTAAACCAAAAAGGCCCTGTATTGCAGACCCTCTCTACACCTCTAACGAGGCCACAGACACCCAAGGCCTTGCCGACTCTGCCCAGTACCACTCCCTAAACCCTAAACCCTAAACCCTAAACCCTAAACCCTAAACCCTAAACCCTGAACCCTGAACCCTAAACCCTAAAGTTTAGTTCAGGGCTTAGCACAAAGCCCCAACAGGGCGCCGGAAACACGATCCCCGCCCTTCCCAGGATCGGCCTGGAGCTTGGTGGCACCTCGTGGACTTAAGCGAAAGTTGATGTTAGGGTGCTTGGGCACTAAGGGTTTAGGGTTAGGGTTTAGGGTTGTACGAACAGCCACGTGAATGGGGCAGATAGGAATGGCTCAGGTTTTCCGATTAGCGCCTTCTGCAGTCGCTGCTCTTCGAACAACACTCCGGCGCAAGCAGTGCCCAAGCATGATGCAGTGGTCCAGACAGGCAGACGGGGCGCGTCGGACCCTGCACATAACAAGTCTGCCCCGAAAAAGGCGGTGAATACACTCTTCACTTGTGGAAGAACACGTGAAGCCCAGTGCACACTCTAGGGGCGGCAAGAAGCAGCAAACGGGCACTGATCGCACATGACAGAGCACTTGCCTTCGACACAGCTGTGGCAGACTGAGCACTCCCTGTGCGTGTAGCAGGGCTGTCCCTCAACAGATTCGCCTCGCTCCGTCACATCAAGTGCGCTGTGCCGCTTCTCGAAAGCTGGCTTCTTGACCACGTTTTGCAAGTGCGCCGTTCCTCTGATCGCGTGGGCTCCGCAGACAGTCGTTGCCCAGACACAAAAGACGAATCGTGGCGCCATGGGAGAAAAAGGTGGATCTTCAAACAAACATTGGCAAGGCATTTCTTGCCATGGCTGCGGGCATAAGCACTTTCCGGTATGCACGTTCAAGTCCTTCTCCAATGTTTCCTGGAAGCCATGCACTGTGACGCCAAGTGCCGTACGACCAAAAGAGACAAGTGGGGCCTACCACATACATACCTACATACATACATAAATACATACATACATACATACATACATTCATTCATACATGCATGGTATTCGGCTTATTTCCCAAAACAGGGGTACCCCTTATGCACCATAATCCTTATCAAGGATTTAAGGTTGGACTATAGTACCCCTAGTATAATCCCTATGAAGGAGCTGCTGGCATAAGTGGCGGGAACATCCCAACCCAACCCCCTCAACCCTAAACCCTAAACCCTAAACCCTGTAAGTATATAAGCCCTCTAAGGGCTTACGTAGCCGCCCTGACTGCATCGAAGCGGCTGGCGCCGCCAGCTGCCCTGGGAGGCGGAGGGTGGCTGGGCAGCTTAAAGCACAGGGGTTTAGGGTTTAGGGTTTAGGGTTTAGGGTTTAGGGTTTAGGGTTTAGGGCTTAGGGCTTAGGGCTTAGGGTTTAGGTTTAGGGTTTAGGGCTGAGGGTTTAGGGTTCAGGGTTCAGGGTTCAGGGTTTTTGGGTTAGGGTTTAGGGCTTAGGGTTTAGGATTTTGCGGGTTCAAGGTTCAGGTTCAGGGTTCAGGGCTTAGGAGGGTTTAGGGTTCCGGGGTTGAGTGAGGGCCTGAGGGTTTAGGGTTGGGGGGGGCCTGCACCAGATGAGGGCTTGTGGCTTTATGATTCTAGAGTTGCATGGGTAGCTAAAAAGCAGGGTGGTTTAGAGCGACAATCGGTTATGACCGTATTTAGGTGCTGCCGTACGGCACCGCCTCACAATCCTGCAAGCTGATTAGCGCAGCGACCTCACCAACTGTAAGGCTTGGGGTCTAAACCGAAACAAGTTCCTTCGGGGCGTTTGGGCAACGTCTCCTATTGAGAAGCCTACCAAAGGTGACCAAAAGAACCGCAAACCCCCTCAAACCAAAAAACAAACAAAACCCAAGACCCCCACATTTCGCTCTCCAGCTTTCCCCGGTATTGGACGATTGAGAGAAGGTGAAACACTTGAAGTTAGCCCGAACAGACTGGCTCATGCAGCTTTGCTGCCTGAAAGATGACAGCTCCACAACATCCATTTTGGAGAGAATCAGCCAGGTGGCCATGAAAAACTCATATTAGATGGCCGGTTCTCGAAATCATGGTCCCTTTTGGGCAACTCGAAATCATGGTCCTTTTTTGGGCAAATACAAGTTTCGAGTGACCCCAAAAGGGAACAGATTTTTAGAGAACTGACATAATAAACTCTTCATTACAAGGCTCCGAAGGAGAACATCTTGACGTGCGTCAGGGCGTCATGCAGCTATGTTACTGCCTGGAAGACGACAGCCCTTTCAGCAAACCAAGACATTGAGATCGGCTTGGGGTTCAGAGTGTTTAGGGTTGAGGGTTTAGGGTTTGGGGTTCAGGGTTGGGGGGGTTCAGGGTTTAGGGTTTAGCAGTTTAGGGTTTAGGGTTTAGCAGTTTAGGGTTGGGGGCTTAGGGTTTGGGGTACGTTTCAGACGCTGAACGTCATGTCTCTGTCCCTGAGACTGCTGATGCTTTGCGAGAGTATGCGGTCCCTGCTGTAGTGAGACTGCCTCAGATGGCCCTGAAAAACCCTCTGAAAATATTCCTGAATATGATCCTCTTAAACCCAATAAGGGGAAGTATGATCCTCTTGTAACCCAACAAGGGCAAAAAAATCAAAAAAGCTGTCCCAAGGGCCTTCCTAGCTGCAGAAAAGTGCCCCCTGAAATGCCAGCCTCGGCATCCTTCAGAAACTGGGGCGTCGAGGTGCTGCGCAGGAGATCCCGAGCCGAAACCCCTTTGGCCTTCAATGAACAAGGATCTTGAAAAACCCTAGCAGGAATGATAACTTTGGCTGTTTTTTTAGGAATTCTAGTACCCAAAAACTACAAATTCTTCCCAACCATCCCCCAAGTTGCGTTCTTCAAGTTCAAGGAAGCATCGGAGGCGATGAGGGTAGCCGCCGCCTCGAAGTGTCCAGCCAGCAGGGCCATCATCACCGGCGTGGCCCCGCGGTGGTGGTAGCCCAGCATGCGCAGCTTCGTTGGGGGCCGAAACCTGTACTCCACACCCTTCAGGGTCAAGAACAGGCCCAGGCTGCTGGAGGATCTTGGCAAGAAGCGCTCGTCCACGTGAGCTCGCGCTTCGAGCAGCTTGGTGATCATGGCCTTCGTGCCCCCGTTGTTGAGCGCTGCTGCATGTAGCGAGCCGGACAGATCGAGGGAGCCGCCGGCCACGCTCAAGAGCTCATCCACTGCATCACAGGCCCCTGACACACATGCGTGTTGGAGAACAGAAATGCCCAGAAAAGTCCTGGCATTTGGGTCGGCGCTAATTTTGCAGAGCAGGCCAATGCCAGTCGCATTGTTTGCATAGGCAGCCAGGCAGAGAGATCTCTCGATCGATCCCGGACCGACATCAGCCCTGGCCGCCACCAGCGTCATCATGGCATCGTTGTTTCGGAAGAAAGCACAGATGCCCAGCACAGACACCTGGTAGTTTCCAAAAAAAAAGGGTAGCTTCTTCGGCGGGTCCCTTTTAGGGGGCTTCTGCTGAAATTTGGAATAAAGCAGGGGTACCCCTGCTTTGGGAACTACCCACCTTCTTTTGCAAAGCCAACAGTGGCTGGCCCTTCTTGATTTCATCATTGGGGTCGGCTCGACTCTGCAGTAGCGCCTTCACTAATGCTGCGTCTCCCTTCAGAGCTGCATAGCACAGTGGCGACCACCCCATGCCGTCATACTCACACACCTGCTGAAAGCCATTCTGAAACAAGAAATGTGCCACTTTGAGTGAGCCAGCATCAGTAGCATCAGACCCATGCAGAGATGACTCAAACCCTGGAACGCTGTCTGTGATGGGCTTGAATGGAAGGCCCCGGCAAAGGATCGCCTGCGCATTCAGCACCACACGGTAGCTCGGCAAATCTTGTTCCTGCAGGCATTGGCTCACCTTCTGGGTCAGAACCTGCCTCACCACAGGGACAATGGTCAGGCGATCCTGCTCCACGGTGAAGTCGCCTTCGCCAGGTGAGCTGTCGGGAGTTGCGAAGGCCGTTGCCACCAGCTCCACATGCCTGGCACCTTGCGATTTACGTGAAGCAACAAAACTGGGGGATCATGTAATACCAATTACGACGGGATAGTATTCGAATTCATTTCGGCCCCTACATTACCCCGTGCAGGTATATTCATGGACCTTATTTGTTGGCTTCTTTGGCCCAAAGCACTCTTGACCATCAGGAAAGTGCCATCTCCAGAGCACTGCTTGACTAGCCGCTCCAGCCTGCACCACCCACCTTCGTTCGTTGCTGCTGCAAGCTAGAAAGAAAACTTGAACCCTAAACCCTAAACCCTAAGCCCTCAAGGCTTAGGACAACACCACACGCGGGGGGCGGAGCCCCTCCACCTCGATGGGGCATCGATGGCGCAGGCCGACCCATGTCGATTCGTCCCCTTTAAACCCTAAACCCTAAACCCTAAACCCGAAACCCCAAACCCTAAACCCTGAAGAAGGGGCTCGCTGCCCGCGCCAAGAGCGGGGCTCAACAAGGGTCTCCAAGCGTGGTTGGGCAGGTCTCCAACCAAACCAGGAACTCAAGGTCTCGGGGTTTAGGGTTTAGGGTTTAGGGTTTGGGGTTTGGGGTTTGAGGTTTGGGGTTTGGGGTTTGGGGTTTGGGGTTTAGGAACATCCAAAGTTTTCGACAGATTAGAAGACCTGGCAGTCAACATGAGTTTAGGCCTCAAAACTCAAAACCGACAAGGAGTTGGTTTGGGCTGCGAGGCCTGTCACCTAGGGGTTTGGGGTTTGGGTTTAGGTTTCAGGTCAAGGGAAACACGATGCTGAACTTGGAACCCTAGCAAAATCATAATTTGAGGTGTTTCTTAAGGAATTACAGTACCCCAAAATTACAAATTACCCTCAAGAGCCCCTAAGGGAAACCCTAAACCCTAAACCCTAAACCCTAAACGAAGGCGGCTGCCAAGCCACGGTCAGCCCAGCTCGCGGGGCTCAGGATGCTTGTCTTGTCGTCACTCTCGATGACGGGGCAGAGGACCTCTACTGAACTTAGGAACCCCCCCCAGGCGAAAATGAGATAAATTTTAGCTGTGTCTTAGGAATTGCAGTACCCCCAAAAAAATTAGACATTGCAATTTCTAGCTGTGCCTTATAAAATCTCAGTACCCAAAAATTTACATTAACAAAAAAAGAAGAAAGTATTCCCAAGAATCCCTAAGGAACGAGCATGACCTTGCACCTCAGGACGTAGGCCGGGATGCTGCTAATGGCCTTCGACAGCTCCCTGCTTCCGGGCGTCTGCGGGCAGCTGAAGAAGTCGTACCAAAGGTACCTATAACCCTAAACCCTAAACCCTAAACCCTAAACCCTATACACTGAACTTGGAACTTTAGCAAAAAACTTACCATCTTAGCTGCTTCTTAGGTTAGGGATTCTAGTATCCAACAATTACAATCTTAGCTGCTTCTTGGGGATTCTCCAGAATCCAAAAATTAGAAAAAACATTCCCAAGTATCCCTAAATAAGGGACAGGTCGGTGGACAGGAAGTAGTGGTGCGCCAGGTTGCTTGGCCTGCCAAACAGGAGCTCTGACACCACGTCCACGCTGATCTCCTTAGTAGCCCAGTAATCATCTTGTAACCCTAAACCCTAAACCCCAAACCCCAAACCCCAAACCCCAAACCCTGAACCAAACAAAGGGTAAACGGCACCACTGGGCTACCCAGTCTCCGTCTGACCGGACAGGATGTTGCGTAGGGCATCCTGAAGAACCCTGAACCTCAGCTGCTGAGTTCATAAAGCCCCCCCCCCCCAAAAAAAAAAAAGGTGTAGGCTTGGTTAGGGTTTGGGGTTTAGGGTTTAGGGTTTAGGGTTTAGGGTTTAGGGTTTAGGGTTTAGGGTTTAGGGTTTAGGGTTTAGGGGTTAGGGGTTAGGGGTTAGGGGTTAGGGGTTAGGGGTTAGGGGTCTATAGGGGATTATCGTATCCCAGAAAGTGTCGTAAAGTGTACTCATTCAGCTGCTAAGGAACTGCTTGTGCTCTGGATCTGGATGCTTCTTGCCCACCCACTGGTGTGAAACAAACGCTGCGCGACCCATGCCCTCATGAAAGACCGTAAGGGTGCCATTTTCCTGCAGCTCCTCGTGCGGCTTGACCGCTTGCATCTGCAGCACTGCAGCCATTGAAACCGTGTACATGGGAAAATGCATTGGACTGGCCTCGGGACAACTTTGAGAGAACTCAGGGGGAAGAGTTTTTAGAACGGGGTCGCAGCTTGTCTCTGTGGGTAATCCTAATGTTGACTTCACATTACCGGTTCCCGCTGCAATTATAAAATCCCGGGCCCGGAACACAATAGTCTCGCCCCCCACAATTATAAAATCACCCCCTTTTCTTTTAGGGAGATGTTCCAGGTTGCTTAAACTTATACTACCTAATACTAGAACTCATAGAAAATCCTACCAGGATTTAGGCGAATGCAATTGAGGAGGCCCCTGGCCGAAAAGATTGATCAACCGGGGGCGGGGGGGTTTATTCATGCGAAGTCAACATTAAATCCTAAACCCTAAACCCTAAACCCTAACCCCGAACCCTGGGCCGCCTCCGACGCGCACAGTGACTGCGCATACTGCATCAGGGCCGTGCTCGTCGGGCGCGTCTGCGCCGGGAACGTCAAGCACGGCATCGAGCGGAAGATTTGGAAACCACGCTACAGCTGTCGACACACACAGGGCCCAGGTCCCTGTGCCAAAAAATGCCCAAAGCGGCCTGTTTCTGGTTCCGCAAGGTCGTTCTGAATCTTTGCTGAACCCCCTTTACCTTAAGCCCTTACCAGTCTCTTTGACTGGTTGGGATCTCCGGAATAGGACTTCCTCGGGTAAGGACTGCTGCATTGCTTGCATCAGCTTGCGTGTATCTTTCCACTCTGGGTTTCGTTTCTACCACTATAACTTCTAAAACCCCCCCTTTACCCTCATCCAATGCGCATCTACACATGCGCCCTTCAAGCAGGGTTCAGGATTGCAGGGCCTAATATAGGGCTCTTAAAACTTTGGGTTTAGGGTTTAGGGTTTAGGGTTTAGGGTTTAGGGTTTAGGGTTTAGGGTTTAAGGTTTAGGGTTTAGGGTTTAGGGTTTAGGGTTTAGGGTTTAGGGTTTAGGGCTAGATGGGCTTTCGATCTCAGGCACCCTCGACTTGAAGGCTTGCGTAAGGTTGAGAGTTTAGGGTTGTTGAGGCTGCAGGGCTTAGGGCGTGGGTCCTCAACCCGCACCCCTCAACCTCCACCCTGTGAGCCTTTCAAAGATGGCCCTAAACCCTAAACCCTAAACCCTAAACCCTCAACCCTGAACCCTAAACCCTAAACCCTAACCCAAACCCGAAACCCTAGACCCTCCCGTGCGCCGGGAGGGTAGGCTGGCGGAGGTGCCGCCGGACGGTGGTGCCTCGAAGGCGGTGGCAAAAAATAAGGCCGGTGTAGGGTTTGGGGTTTAGGGTTTAGGGTTTAGGGTTTAGGGTTTAGGGTTTAGGGTTTAGGGTAATGACGCCTTGTTGGGGCCTGATTTAGAACTCCAAGAACACCTCAGCCCTCTAGCCGTTCAGCCCCCTCAACCCGAAACCCCTCCAACCTCAACCCTTGCAAGCCCCCAAGCCCCCCAAACAAACTCACAAACTGAAAGCTCTAAAACTCGAAACGCTGAAGCTTCGGATGTGTTCCGTGGACTTGGAGTGTTGGATCTCAGGCTTTGGAGGTTCAGTTTAGGGTTGAGGGCGCAGGTTTCAGGGTTCTGGTTTGGGGTTCCGGGCTGCAGGTTTAGGGTTAGGGTTTAGGGTTTAGGGTTTTGGGTTTAGGGTTTAGGGTTTAGGGTTTACGGTTTAGGGTTCGGGGGGTTGTGTCCCTGCAGTAAGCCCCTCGTTCTGAGGTCAGAACCCACTAGGCGGCGGGTGCGCTACTGGCCTGGCTCACTTTACTGTAGGGCAACTAAGGTTAACTAAGGTTAACAGTGGTCTGTAACCCTACTTCAAGTACTCGTTCTTCACAGGAAATGGGGCAGTTAGGTGTATCGTGCCCATATGTTATGGGGGGGGGGGGAGGGAAGGGGAGGGGGATGGAAAAAGCTGTAGGGATTCAGGGCTCAAGAGCTCCAGGCTTCCGGATTTCGGGTTTAGGGTTTTTGGGTTTAGGGTGTTAGGGGTTAGGATGTAGGGTTCGGGGGGTTCGGGGGGTTCGGGGGGTTCGGGGGGTTCAGGGGGTTTGGGGGGTTTGGGGGGTTTGGGGGGCTTGGGGGGTTTGGGGGGTTTGGGGGGTTTGGGGGGGGGGGGGGGGTTTGGGGGGTTTGGGGGGTTTGGGGGGTTTGGGGGGTTTGGGGGGTTTGGGGGGTTTGGGGGGTTTGGGGGGTTTGGGGGGTTTGGGGGGTTTGGGGGGTTTGGGGGGTTTGGGGGGCTTGGGGGGTTTGGGGGGCTTGGGGGGTTTGGGGGGTTTGGGGGGTTTTGGGGGGTTTGGAGGGTTTGGGGTTTCGGCTGTTAGGGTGTTAGGGTGTTAGGGTGTCGGGGTGTATGAGTGAAACCCGGAAAGCTCAAAGCCCCTAAGTTCTGAAGACGAAAACCCTCAAGTCCCCACAACCTTAACCGATCAGCTCTTCTAGCTGTTTATTGGGGAGATGAGGGAGCTAGGGACCTTCTCATCTAAAAAATGCACCTTCTAAGGGGGTGATTCCAGGTCACCTTAGCAAAACCCTGCCGCCTTCACCCTTTTGGCTACACCCGCAAGCCCGCACACCACAAACCCCCCTTGTGTGGTGAAGTTCGGAGCCCGGAGCACATCATCGGAGGGTAGCCCGGCATGTGCCTGAGCGGGAGAAGGGTTTCAGGGTTTGGGGGCTTGGGGGGTTTCTCAAACCCGGAAACCCTAAACCGCAAACCCTAGACCCCAAGCCCTAACCCCGAACCCTGGACACACGTGGTGGGTGGAAAGGGTGAATAGGCTTCTTGCATCCCAAGACCTCAACCCCAAAGGGAGCCTAGGTTTAGGGTATTGGGTTTAGAGTTTGGGTTTTAGGGTTCAGGGATTAGAGTTCAGGGTTTAGGTTTTAGGGTTTGCCCACCCTAAACTCTAAACCCTAAACTAAACCCTAAACCCTAAACCCCAAACCCCTGAACCCTAAACCCTGAACCCTGAACCCTGAACCCTGAACCCTGAACCCTAAACCCTGTCCGATTCTTTCCTACGAGTCTCCGAGGATGTTCGGACGGGCTGTAGCAGGGCTGGTAGATCGGAGACCCAGGCTTGACTGGTGCGTGCTACACCCCCCACCCCCCCCCCCAACAAAACTTTGCCCCTAAACCCTAAACCCTAAACCCTAAACCCTAAACCCTAAACCCTAAACCCTACACCCGACTTGCAACTCCCAACAAAGAACTTAGCCCCAGAACCCTCGAACCCCGAACCCGCAACCGCTTTCAACTCGTTTTCAAGGAACCTACAACAGTAGAAGGGCCGATGTTGGCAGGGGCTTCAGATGTAAGGTTTCAGGCTTCGGGGTGGCTTGGGGACATTCGCTTGCAGGTAAGAGCACGGAGAAGGACATGTATGTCGGAGGCCCCTGAACCCTGGGCCTCGAACCTCGGACTGCAAGCAGGCTTGCAAACTCAAGTGGGACCACAAAACCCTAGGCCCTAAATCCTGAACCCTATGCAGAATCCCAGAGGAACTATAAGCCTCTGATGATTTTATCGCCCCCAGCCCAGAAGGCAAGACCCGGGCGGCGGTGCGCCGTACGCGGGGGGCCGGAAGACAGGAGGAGGGTGCCGCGCGTACCTCTAAGCTTCCGTAGTTTGGGCGTTTCTAATTAAGGCCACATCATATCCTTTTAGCGTAACCATATATCCTCATACAAGCATGCTTCGATCAAAAGATGAAAGAAACAAAAACGCATTTCTACAGGGTGCGCTCCCTGCTCATGGGGTTCGGCTCAGAGGCTTCTCCTAAAGAGCCACATACATGCCACTGGGGTACGGAATGTAGCTCTAATGGCCATAAGGATCCTTATGTACATGAAAGGTAGATTCCTCGATGGCCCTGGGTCCATCCATGAAGGAGTCAGCGCAAAAGGTACGGCAAAAGCACCCTTAAGTCTTTCTGTCAGATCGCAGTAGGATCGTGGGGGGGGGGTCCCTGACTTTCGACTGAGAACCCATCAGAAAGCCCTGAAACTCCCACAGGTCACCCAATCAGAAGATTGATCTGTAAAAAAACAAAATCCTGGGTCCTGTCATGGGCTTAGTTTTCCCTAAACCCTACTGACCCAACTGGGGGTGTCCCCCGTACAGTTTCATGTGCACAAATTGCACGCTACAAAATCTCCAGGAGCGACCCTAAACCCTACACCCTAATTCCCAAACCCTAACTAAACCCTAAACCCTGCTCAAACCTCAAGCCCTAAGCCCTAAGCCCTAAGCCCTAAACCCTAAACCCTAAACCCTAAACCCTAAACCCTAAACCCTAAACCCTAACCCAAGACCCTCAAGCCTAAGGGTCACATGTGCGGCGCCACCGGTCGCCAGGCCGGCTGCCGGGGGTCGTAGGCCCTGGGCTCAGCAGCAGTTTAGGGTTTCGGGTTTAGGGTTTAGGATTTAGGGTTTGGGGTTTAGGGCTTAGGGTTTAGGGTTTAGGGTTTAGGGTTTAGGGTTTACGGTTTACGGTTTGGGGTTTGGGGTTTAGGGTTGAAGGCTTGCTGGTTCTTCGTAGGCGCTGAAGGAAATAAGTACCTAATACCCCTCTATATATAAGCTCTTTCTGGGATGATATAGGGTCTGCAAGCTTTAGGTCCAAACCCTAAGCCTTTAAAACTGTAGGGCTTGGGTCTATGGATTGTTAAGCTTTGTTCAGGACTGAAGCTTAAAAAAAGCAGAGACAGAATGTCTTTGTGCTGCTACAAGACTTGAGGCGAACCCAGTATACTCTCAGCCCTGCAACTTCACAGACGCGGCCCCCAAATGCCACTTACTCATTCTTCCCTAAACCCTAAACCCTGAACCCTAAACCCTAAGCCCTAAACCCTAAACACTAAACCCTAAACCCTGAACTCTGCCTAAGCCTTACTCTTCCGTAGTCAAACCCCCAACCCAAAACCCCAAAATCCTGGCGCCGCAAGGCCCCCCCAGGACTCTGGCGGAGGCCAGCCCGGCGGCATCTGGGGGTAGGGCATGGGACCTCCCGCACTTGCAGAAGGGTTTAGGGTTTAGCGTTTAGGGTTTAGGGTTTAGGGTTTAGGGTGAAGGGGGGGGGGATGTGGGGTGGGGCTGTGGGATGTAGCCGCGCACAAGAAACACAAGAACCAGACCACGCAGCTGGGGCATGCTTGTTGTTGAGGGTTAGGGGTCAGGGGTTGTGGAATTAAAGTTCAGGGCTTAAGGCTTGAGGGTTATCTTGCTTGCTCATTGTGGTTCGACCGAGCTACGGCCTCCAATGCCCACCAAGAAGTGGAAAGCTCCTGCCTCCCTCCACCCCTTGCCCCAGGAACTTGAAGACATCACTTGGGGTTTAGGATTGGGGGCTCCTAAACCCAAGACTTGCAGCTTGTAGCATAAGGAACCTCAAAACTTGTCCCTAAACCTCAACAACCCCAAAGCCCTAAACCTCAGGAACCCGAAAGCTCAGGGCCTAGGCCGCCCCCCTACAGAGGGGGGGCGGCGCTTGAGCGAAGGTCGACCCAGGTCGCCTGGTACCGGAGCAGGGGGGTACCCCAAGGCCCCCAGGCCAGGAGGACCTGGACCCCTCACCGCAGCGTGTCCAGGGACCAGGGGGCCTCAGGCCAGGCCACGCAGGGCGGGTGCTCAAAAAGCTGATTTTTGGCCCCTGACCCCCCCCTCACCCCCCCTGGCCCCCCCTGGGCCCCCCTGGCCCCCCCTGGCCCCCCCTGGCCCCCCCTGGCTGGCCCCCCCTGCCCCCCCCTGACCCCCCCCTGCCCCCCTGGCCCGGCCCCCCCTTCCCCCGTCCCCCTGACCTTCTGGTCCCGCCTGTGCCCCCCTGGCCCCCCCTACCCCCCCTGGCCCCCCCTGGCCCCCCCCCGCCCCCCCTGCCCCCCTGGCCCCCTCTGGCCCCCCTGACCCCCCTGACCCCCCCTGACCCCCCTGGCCCCCCTTGACCCCCTCTGACCCCCCCTGACCGCCCCTGACCCATCCTGGCCTCCTCTGGCCTCTGGCTCTGGCCTTTCTTGGCCCCCTTGACCCTTGGCCCTTTCGGCCCTTCTCAGCTCAGGCCCCCCACAAAATCAACCCACACCTTACCCTCTCTCCTGAGCCCCTGGCCCCCGTCTGGCCCCGGCTCTCGTTGGCCCTTCTGCCCACCTCTTGTGGCCCCCGCTAACCCTGTCAGCCGGGACCTGGCTACAAACCTTGTTCTCGGGGAATGTTTTTTTTGAAAGTAAGCGATTGTCATGAGTTTAGGCCTAAACCCTAAAAGGAATAGGTTTGGGTGGTTTTGCCGCCTCGGACGGCGTGGGGTGGGAGAAAAGTTTTTGATGGCCCTCCAATATCGGGCCAAGAGCTGCTCTGCGCATTTGCCGAGGCATTCGAGCCGCTGCTGCATCCTAACCTTCACAGCATCTACGCCCTATCACAGCAAACCCTGAACCCTGAACCCTAAACCCTAAACCCTAAACCCCACCCTGAACCATGAACCCCAAAACCGAGACCCTAAGCCCTACTCTGCACCCACCCAGCCCGTGGGCCGAGGCCAGCAAACCTTTACTGCCTGAACCACTACTAGGGTTTTTCTTTTGGGGGGGGGGGGGGGGGGATTATAGTAACCCTAAACCCTAAACCCTAAACCCTAAAGCCTATATTACAGCCCGACAGCCACGACCACCACAGAGACGCCGGGCCCGGATGAGGCGAGGCTGCCGGCTGCGGCGGCCTCGAGGTAGGGTTTAGGGTTTAGGGTTTAGGGTTTAGGGTTTAGGGTTTAGGGTTTAGGGTTTAGGGTTTAGGGTTTAGGGTTTAGGGTTTAGGGTTTAGGGTTTAGGGTTTAGGGTTTAGGGTCAGGGGAGGGCGCGCGCTCGGGTGTGAAACACCCCGGGCCGCGCGCTCGCGTTGCCCGTCAACCCACCCCGGCCACCCAAACTATACTCTATTAGGGTTTAGGGTTTATGGAATTTACTTTCTTGTGCTCTGATGCTTGCTTTGATGTTTTTAAAGTTGCGCTGTTAGGGTTTAAGCTGGGGTTGGGGGTAGCCTCGGCCCTTTTCGGGCCTTCGGCGTGTCAGGGCCCGTAGAGGCCCTTATTTATTTGAAGGTCAGGGAAACCCTTTGTGTCTGCTTTTGGATTCCCCTTCTTTAAGGGCCTCAATTAAGCATCGATTTCACTACCAAAAAATCGCATTTTTCATTGCGGGTACGGGCATCCTGGGGTCCCCCTTCTTTTAGGGGGCCTTTTGAAGCCTTTTGAAGTATTTTGGTGGCTCTTGGGGTCTCTCGGGGCCTTGTTCGGACCTTCGGCGTGTCAGGGGCCGTAGAGGCTTTATTCATTTAAAGGTCAGGGAACCTATTAATGAGTTTTTCGCCAATGAGTCTTTCAATCGCTAGGGTTTAAGCTCGGGTTCGGGGTAGCCTCGGCCCTTTTCGGGCCTTCGGCAAGTTAGGGCCCGTAGAGGCCCTTATTTGCTTGAAGGCCTTCGTAGGGTTTTGCGGTGTTAGGGTTTAAGCTGGGGTTCGGGGTAGCCTCGGCCCTTTTCGGGCCTTCGGCACGTTAGGGCCCGTAGAGGCCCTTATTTGCTTGAAGGCCGTCGTAGGGTTTTGCGGTGTCAGGGTTTAGGCTGGGGTTCGGGGTAGTTTCGGTCCTTTTCGGGCCTTCGGCACGTGGGCCCGTAGAGGTCCTTGCTGATTTAGGGGGAGCCATCGATTTCAATGCTAAAAAGGCGGGCAACAATGTTTTCAATATTCTCATTGTGGGCACGGACAAATCTTGTGGTCCGTGTTAGGCCAAGGGGGCGTATTGTTGGGGGTTCTTGACGGTCTTGGCCGGTCCTTGAGTCCTTGGCTCCCTTGGCTTGGGGGGCCCTTGGCCTGCGCCCTTGGCCAAAGGGCCCCCCGGGCCAAGGGCCCCCCGGGCCAAGGGCCCCCCGGGCCAAGGGCCCCCCCGGGCCAAGGGCCAAGGGCCCCCCGCCGGGCCAAGGGCCCCCGACCAAGGGCAAGTGCAAACTAAGGGCTTCCCGGCCAATAGGTCCCCGCCAAGGCAAGGGTCCCCCAGGCCGGGGGGCCCTTGGCCCGGGGGGCCTTGGCCCGGGGGGCCCTTGGCCCGGGCTGCCCCTGGGGGGTGCGGAGGGCCCTTGGCCCGGGGGGCCCGGGGGCCCTTGGCCCGGGGGCCCCTTGGCCCGGGGGGCCCTTGGCCCGGGGGGGGGGCCCTTGGCCCGGTAGGCCCTTGGCCCGGGGGGCCCTTGGCCCGGGGTTGGAAATGTGAAAAAGCCCCCAAAATCACGAAATTGAGCAACCAGCCTGCCTGGACCCCTCGCCAGCCTCCTGGTCCAGGAATCCAGCTACCAGGGACCAGGGGGCCCCCGGGGGGGGGGCCCGACAAACCCTGAACCCAAAACCCTGAACCGACCTCCAAGGCAAAGGGTTACGATTTGGGGTTATACTTTAGCTACGCTAAAGGTGGTCTGGGTGCCGGCCATCCCGTAGCCGAGTACTGACGTTGTCGTAAAAAAGGCCGATGTCCGTTGGCCTGTCCAGGACAGACGGTGAGGCTTAACCCTCACCTTTCCGTTTCTCTTTTCGCTTGGGCGCTCGGGCTGTAAGGCCCTCGGCCGAGCGTTCGGGGTCTGTCGCTCGACGGAAGCGACCCCTCACTTAGTTTAGGGTTTAGGGTTTAGGTTTTAGGGTTTAGGGTTTAGGGTTTTAGGGTTTAGGGTTTAGGGTTTAGGGTTTAGGGTTTAGGGTTTAGGGTTTAGGGTTTAGGGTTTAGGGTTTAGGGTTTAGGGTTTAGGGTTTAGGGTTTAGGGTTTAGGGTTTAGGGTTTAGGGTTTAGGGTCCGCCGACCCTATATCCCAGGTAATCCCACCACCAACATGGAATCCTCGTCATTCCATCAAATGCCTCGCAGGTCCAGGCAATTTCCACAAAACATGTGTTCACAAATACCAAGTTATCAACTTCATTTTTTGAAAAACTTTTACATATATAAAAATATACAAAACTTCAAGGATAACGAATCCAATTTTTATAAATGCCATGAATCTGTAAAATATCCTAAACAGTTTTTCGGTCAAAAATATATTTATTCTAAACATAATGAATACATTAAACAGTCTAATTCCAACAGATGATATTAACCTAAACAATGATAATAATCCAATCCAAACAAATGAAATAAATGATGCAAATAAGAGTATTATATTACAACAACAAATTGCAACAAATGCTGTTTTAGATGCATCTCATATTGACAATATTGATAATGAATATGGTGATGATAATAATCAATTTATTAATTTATTAAATGAAAATAATAATGATAATTTTTTTAATTGGAATGCACAAGATTGGCGGCGTGTTGGACCCCCCCAAAAGATGGAGGGCCAGGCCACCCACACCGCATAAACTCACGGACCATAGGCGGTTTCGCACAGGACATAGGGTCCTTTGAGAAAAAAACCCCACCCCCCCCCCCCCCCCCCCCCCCCCCCCCCCCACCCCCCCCCTACCCCCCCCCCTACCCCCCCCCCCCCCCCCCCTACCCCCCCCCCACCCCCCCCCCCCCCCCCCCCTACCCCCCCAACCCTTTTCCGGTTGTTGGGCTTGAATTGATGGGGCTGCCCTCAGAGGCTCAAGCAAAGAGCTGACGAGCGCGTTTAAGCCTTTCAACTATGCTCCAGCGGGGTCGGCGGCTTGAGCCGGAGGCTCTTAATTTAGGGTTTAGGGGTTAGGGGTTTAGGGTTTAGAGCTTAGGGGTTTAGTGCCTTACGGGCTCGGGGGGCTTGGGGGCCTAGGGCTTCGGGGTTACTAGGGGCTGAAGGGCTTTGGGTTTGGAGTAGCGGGTTATCGGGGTTTCGGGCTTAGGGTTTTTGAGGGCTTTAGGTTTTTAGAATTCATGCGCTCCCGGATGTACCGTAGTTAGGGCTTCAGCTCTTTTCTGCCAGGGCATTGGGGGTTCTAAGGCTTCCTTGCATTTTGGGTTTAGGGTTTAGGGGTTAGGGTTTAGGGTGTAGGGTTTAGGGTTTAGGGTTTAGGGCTTGAGGTGTAGGGTTTAGGGTTTAGGGGTTTAGGGTTTAGGGTTTAGGGTCTAGGGTTCAACAGGTATCAAATATCGAGAGAACTGTCGGGCTGGAAAGGGCAGGGCGATGTCTTTGTCCTAAACCGTAATTCACCCAAAAGCCGAGCACAGTTCGTCTTCGGATTTGAGGGCCTGAGCCCGACCCAACACCCTAAACCCTAAACCCTTCTAAGGTCCCATGTAATCCCTAAGCCCCCAAACCCCTCAATCCTAAACCATTCCTGAGCTCTCATGAACCCAAACCCCAAGATGTAAATCACTAAGCCTCGAAGCCCCATATACCCAAATCTTGTTCTCATCCCCTGCATCCCCCCCTCTCAATCCCCAAACAGCCCTTAACCCCCCCAATCCCTAAACCCTAAACCTAAACCCTAAACCCTAGACCCTAGACCCTAGACCCTAAACCCTAAACCCTAAACCCTAAACCCTAAACCCTAAACCCTAAACCCCAATCCCTAAACCCTAAACCCTAAACCCTAAACCCCAAACAAGGCGCCTGCCCGTTTTCCTGGCCCCGGCCACCTCCGGAACCTCCGCCCCGCTGCGCCTGGGAGTGGCGTAGGGTTTAGGGTTTAGGGTTTTAGGGTGTAGGGTTTAGGGTTAGGGCTTGGAGCCTAGAGTTTCCGGTTTAAGGGTTTAGGCTCTTTAGGGCTTAGGCTTTAGGGTTTAGGGTTTAGGGTTTAGGATTTAGGGTTTAGGGGCTTCGGGCTTAGGGGTTACGAGTGTAGGGTTTAGGGTTCAGGGTTCCTTTGGGAAGAACATGTGTACATAGGGCTTAGGCGCATGGGGCTTGGGGCTTGGTCGGGTTTAGGATCTAGGGTGTGTTAGGGCTTGGGATATAGTGTCTCGTACGGTTTGGGGTTTATAGGGCTTGCTATTTCTTAGGGGAGTTGCTATTTCATAAGGGTTAGGGGTTTGGGGTTAGGGTCTCGGGTTTAGTATACCTCCCCCTCGAGAGTCCAAGACATAACGTAGGAGGGAATATGTGGGGTAACCCTGCTGGGGGAGGTCTGGGGATCCCCCGTGACTGCACGGACGGGGCATTTCAGTCACTAGCCTGATACTTGTGGCGCAGCCTTGTTGCAAAGTGGGTAGGAAGCCTTTTAGGAACCCTCAAGCCTCAACCCTAAAGCCTAAACCCTCACTCCTAAAGCCTAAACCCTAAACCCTGAACCCCCTTAAACCCTCAACCCTCGCTCCTAAAGCCCCAAACCCTGAACCCCCTTAAACCCTCAACCCTAAAGCCTCAACCCTAAAGCCGAAATCCAAGTCCCCGTCAAGGCCTCGCAGGTCAAGGCCAGGTAGATGCAAAAGCCAGGGACAGGAGCTAAAGTCAGACTCTAGAGCTCAACGTCCCCTTTTCCTTGTTTGTTTTTTTCTTCTTCTTTTTTTTTTTTTTTTTTTTTGGGGGGGGGGGGGGTGGGGGGGTTAGGGTTCAGAGTTTAGGGTTTAGAGTTTAGGGTTTAGTTTGTTTAGGGTTTAGGGCTTAGGGTTTCGTTTCTGGTTCATGGTGTAGGCTTTTTTCGGGTTCAGGAATGAGGACCTACCAACTGCTGCGACAACCTGTCGCTTGGGTCCTGGCGGGCGCTTTGGCTCCTGGCAAGAGCATGGCAAAAGCACACAACTCAAGCCTGGGTCATGGGTGGCTTCCGGTGATTTAGGGTTTAGGGCCTAGGGTTTCGTACAAGAGGGCAAACAGCACAAAAGCTACATGCAAGCAACCTACCCTAGAGGCTTTAAAGTTTCCGGTTTCGGCACAACGGAATGCCCTTAAATGGACAGCCAAAAAAAGGACCCCTCAACTCTAAACCCTAATTACGCCCTAAGCCCTAAGCCCTAAACCCTAAACCCCTAAACCATAAACCCGAACCTCCATGTTGACATGCAGCGACCAAGAGAGGCTCCAATACCAGACGACAGTTACACCCAACAAAACCCAAAACCCACAAGCCCAACGACCAACGAACCCTGAACATCCCTGAACCCTGAGTCCGTAAGACTGGGCCCTGCGCAACGCCAGTCCTTACCCCCAAGGGGCCCGAAAGACCACGTAAGCATAAGGATTCTGCACACATGGCCGTCCAGAATCCCCCTGTTTGGGGCCCCTTCATACCCCAATAGTAGGATCCTTATGCTTATATGGTGTTTAGGGTTCAGGGTTTAGGGTTTCGGGTTTAGGGTTGATTTGGGGCCCCTAATATACCCACCCCCCCCCCCCCCCCCCCCCCCCCAAAAAAAAAAAAAAAACTCTCGCGGTGCCTTGGGCGAACCTCCTCGCTTCTCTTTCTCCTTCTCCCTGGGGGCCTTCGGAAGGATCTTGGGAGGCTTCGGGTTTCGGGCTTAGGGTTGCTGAGGGTTGAGGGTTGAGGGTTGAGGGCTGAGGGTTGAGGGTTGAGGGTGGAGGGTGGAGGGTTGAGGGTTGAGGGTTGAGGGTTGAGGGTTGAGGGTTGAGGGTTGAGGGTTGAGGGTTGAGGGTTGAGGGTTGTGGATTTAGGGTTGAATCCCTTACACCCTGTTCAACCCTAGCCCCTCTAAACCCTTTCAGACCCTAAACCCTCCACAATCCTCGACCCTCCAAAGCCCGAACACCACAAACCCCCAACTCCTTTAAAGCCCAACAACCCTGAAACCTGAAACCTGAAACCTGAAACCCCAAACCCCAAACCCTAAACCTCATTCCCTAAACCCCAAACCCTAAACCCGAAACCCTAAACCCCAAACCCTAAACCCCAAACCCCAAACCCTAAACCCTACAGCCCTAAACCCTAAAACCCTTGAAGCATTCTCAAGCTTTGGGGTTCACATTTTTTGAGAGGCCCAGAGTCTCAGTTTTGAAGCTCCAAACAGCTGATGCTCAACATGCCAGGCCTTAGTTGTTGAGAGCAGGTATTCTTTGGCTGTCGGGTGGCGGGTTTAGGGTTTCGGGTGTAATTAGGGTTTAGGTTTTAGGGTTTAGGGTTTAGGGTTTAGGGGTTAGGGTTTAGGGTTTAGGGTTTAGGGTTTGGGGTTTGGGGTTTAGGGTTCAGGTTCCATGTTGCAATTTGACATGCTGTCTGAAAAGAACACCCTCATTCTCTCATTCTCTGCAAGTGAACATCTAGAACACGACACCCTAAACCCTCTCCCCTGTAACCTGAAGCCTGAACCCTGAACCCTGCACCGCACAAGTAGGCAATATCCCACCTGCTCCTCCCGAGGTGGACGTGGCTCTGAAGCCTGACTGGTTGGAGGATCGAAACACACTTAGCAAGTAGGGTCTTAGGGTTTAGGTTTTAGGTTTAGGGTTTAGGGTTTAGGGCTTACGGCTTGGGGTTTAGGGTTTAGGGTGTAGGGTTTAGGGTCTAGGGTTCCCGCGTCGTCTAGGGCTATACACGATCAACTCGGGATGGGTCTTGAGGGTTTGGACCATGCTCCACGCTTGCTTCACTACGAACTGTAAAGCGCTGTGACAACCCATTTTAAGTTGAAAAAGATCCCTCAACCCTCAACCCGCATCCCCTAAAAATCCCAAATTAAGCCCAGAACCTGACCACGAACAAGCCTTCAAACTAAACCCAAAAACCTAAACCCTGAAAAAAAAACTAAACCCTAAACTGGCGAGGGCGCCGCTGACCGTATGCATGGGCGCCCGAGCCTTCCGGGCAGGGCTAAGCCCTGAACCGAGGACGAATCTGCAGGCCAGGGAGGGTAAAGCCTCCCTGGCATGCCCTTGCCACCTGGACTTAACTACGACCATAGCAGCTCTCTAGTATTACCCCAAATCGACGACCATCGCTTCTGATTCTGGGTGTCGCCTCCTGGAGACCCCTGCCATGGGAGGAATTATGCCCCCTAAGTGGCAGCGCCCCAATCCAGGCCGTCAAGGCACACGCAGGCCACTACTGCCAAACTGAGGACCCCCTGACAGCAGCTTGGCAACAAGCGACCTGTGGCTCTCTTCGGCGTGAGCTTCCTGCAGCATCCCGAGGTTGGGCGGTTGGGCGGCCCAACCCCACTTCAGGGGATGATCAGTGTTGCCCTGCCGAAGAATTCGCGGCAGAGTAGCCATCCTGGTCTATCGACTACCCTGTCGGGCAACAGGGCATGCACGCAGTCCATGTCCATCCTGTCAAGGCAGTCAAGGCATACGACGAGAAACAGCCGACCGAGAGAGAGAGAGAGAGAGAGCGAGAGAGAGAGAGAGAGACAGAGAGCGAAAGAGAGAGAGAGAGGGGGAGTTTTTCAGGAAAAAGCAAACCAAAAAACTCGCTCAAAACCCGTACAGAACCCGGTCAAAACTCCGGGGACCCAAACCCTATACAATGTTTGTACACGCGCCTCCCGCACGCGCTCCCGCCGCGGCTCCCGGTGCTCCCGGTGCTCCCGGGGCTCCCGAGGCTCCCGGGGCTCACGGGGCTCCCGGGGCTCCCGGGGCTCTGGGCTCGGACCTCAGGAGGTTCAGGGTTTAGGGCTTCGGGTTTAAGGTTTAGGGTTGAGGGTTTAGGGTTTAGGGCTTAGGGTTTAGGGTTTATATAGGGTTTAGGGTTCAGGGTTCAGGGTTTGGGGTTTAGGTCTGTTAGGTTTCAAAGGGGACAGAGATCCATGCCTCATAGCCTGGGAGCTCTACTTGCTAGATCATATTCAACATGCTTCAGCCAAAGCTTTCTATTCCCAACGATTGGGGTGCTGAGTCCCTTGTCTACCCCCCGCCTCTTGCTTGTTCGTAGTGCGAGCTGTGATTTCGGGCTGTTGGTGCTTCAAGAACCGTGTGGTGCCAGAAGCAGCAGAGCCAAAGATCTGCAACGCAGCAGCCGCCGTGGTTTCAAAAAGATGTTGCGCAGCTTTCCCGGTTGCAGCTTCGCGAAGCGATATCGTTTTCAAAGAGTCATCTCCCGCCCCGAGCAGCGGCTAATGCGAACCTTTCCTTGCCCCACACTATCGGAGACATCAACACAGTTTCTATTCCACCGACCTTCCTCGCTCTATTCTTCGTGGCCGGCGCGTCCAGACGAATGCGTGCTGCAGACGACCGTAGTATGACGCATGGACATGTAGTCGCTACGTATGAGAGCCTCTAGTCTTAGGGGGAATTGCCCTTTTTGTGTGTCGTAGAGCCGGAAGGAACCCTAAACCCTAAACCCTAAACCGTCATTTAGATTTCACCCCTCATCACCACAAACACACGCCTCCTGTGCTGAGCCTCCCGCGCCTTCTCTTCCGGCCACCGCCTTTGCCTGCTCGGGGGCCATGCGTCTTCCACCCTAAACCCCCCTTGGAGGTTCAGGGTAGTAAACCCTAAACCCTAAAGCCTAAACCCTCCTTGGAGGTTCAGGGTACCCATGAATAGCCCAAGTATCACTGTCCTTGCAACCCAATTATCAGCATATTAGAGTACTTGAAGGGCTTATAACTGGGCTATAAGTACAGTTATAATTGGGTTATGAGATGATATACGTACCATGAACCTCCAAGTACTGGTATCTCCTCCAAAGATGAGACTCGAGGCCTACGTAGAATTATCAGCTATCTGTTCTGGGGTACTAAACCCACAGCCCCAAGTCACTCGAATGTCGTCTTCGCTCATTCGCTGTGATGACCCTTTCTCCTTAGGGTTTAGGGTTTAGGGTTTAGGGTTTAGGGTTTAGGGTTTAGGGTTTAGGGTGTAGGGTGTAGGGTTTAGGGTTTAGGGTTTAGGGGAGCCTGCTGCTTCTTGTGCTTACACCGCATTACCCATGCCAGCTTGGTATTGGCTCACGCTTGTGGAAGCTGTCCACCACGTCCTGGTCCCCTAAACCCTAAACCCTAAACCCTAAACCCTAAACCCTAAACCCTAAACCCTGATCCACCGTGAGCTCGCTGTCCTTTTGCAGGTGCTCCAGCCACTGCTCGTGCAGACCAGAGGCTTCCGCAACTCGCACTGAGCCCTCACAATCATCCGAAACCCTAAACCCTAAACCCTAAGAACCCGAAGAACCCTCAAGCTGAAATGACCCGAATAGCCCTCAGCCCTGAGGAGTACTAAACCCGAGAACCCTTGCCAAACATTCTCCTACGCCCCAAAAAGTCTCCTAAACCCTAAACCCGAAAACCTCAACCCGAAACCCGAAGGCAGGGGGGTTCCTGACTCCGAGGTCGGCGCAAGACCTTAAGATCTGGGGGCTCTTAGGGTTTAGGGTTAAGGGTTTAGGGTTCAGGGTTTACGAGTTTAAGGTTTAGAGTGTATGGGTTTTGAGCTCTTGGTGCTCAAGGCTTAGGGTTGGGGGGTTCTAAAAGGGAGCGCCATTGTCACAAAAAACCAAGTAGGTTTCAGGGTAAGCCTAAGAGTACCCCCAGGACTTGGGATGTTGCCCCCTTATACTAGCAGTCCTTGAAAGGGACTAATATCGGGGAGGGGTGTACATAAAACCCCATTAAGGACTGCTAGTATAAGGGGGAACATCCCACAATTAGACCTCCAACAAGCAGGAGCATGTCCTTTCTAGTGTCTTGAGGCTTCTCTGGTCCTTCAGCTCGACAGTATGATGGCGATGTCCCGAAACCCTAAACAAACCCTGAAACCTAAACCCTAAGCCCGAAACCCGAAACCCCAAACCCTAAACCCTAAAAACTAACCCTGAACCCTAAAACCCCAACCGTTGCGCCTCCGCCGGTGTGCTTCTGCTCCTCTACCAAGTCCTGTGCACCGCGTTTAGGGTTTAGGGTTTAGGGTTTAGGGTTTTAGGGTTTAGGGTTTAGGGTTTAGGGTCTAGGGTTTAGGGTTTAGGGTTTAGGGTTTAGGGTTTAGGGTCTAGGGTTTAGGGTTTAGGGTTTAGGGTTTAAGGGTTAGGGCATAGGGTTTAGTAGGGTTTAGGGTTTAGGGCTTGGGCCTCTTTGGGGTTTAAGGGCTTAGGGTTTGGGGTTTAGGGCTTCGGGTTAGAGTGTGATCTGTGAGCTTCGAGCACAACAATTTGGCAGGCGTGACCTCTCGGCTGGTAGCCTTTTGGGGGATGGGGTGTTTAGGGTCAACTCTACTCCCTGAAAGGTTACCACCCGAGAGGTCACGCCCGGCAACAATTTTTGGTCATTGCCTGAGGCTCTGAGGCAAGATCTTGCCCATGCCTGCTAAGCCCCAAAACCCCTTTGGCCACAAGTGGCCTCAACTCCCCAACTCTGCTCCCCCTCTCCCACTTTTACCCTAAACCCTAAGCCCTAAACCCTAAACCCTAAACCCCAAACCCTAAACCCTAAACCCTAAACCCTCCTCTTTTCAGAAATCGAAAGGCTTCGCACGGCTTCGTAGCTTCGAATGAGCATCGCGGGGCTCCACGCAATACGCGCGAGAGTTCTCACGGTCCGACTGTTGCACTGGAGCAGGGATTCTTTTTTAGGGGTTTTGGGGTTTAGGGTTTTATAGAGTTTAGGGTTTATAGAGTTTAGGGTTTATAGAGTTTAGGGTTTATAGAGTTTAGGGTTTATAGAGTTTGTGGTTTGTAGAGTTTAGGGTTTGTAGAGTTTAGGGTTTAAAGAGTTTAGGGTTGAAGGTTGAGGGTTCTACTTTTCTTGCTGTGTGAAGTTGGGCCAAGACTCGGCAACCAGGTCCACCCCTGGGTCACGGAGATACCTTTCCACCGACTCCAAAGCGTTCACGGCGTAGCTGCGCCGACTTTCGCGCTGCAGCGTGGATCTGTGCATGTCCTCCGTGCGGTCGCCACACGCTTCGGCGACGACGTGCACTTCGAAGCCCTTCAAGAACAGTCCGCACGCATTCAGGTGCACGCAGCAAGACGTCACCAGACCGCACACAAAGACGACCTTCTTTCCACGAGACGCCAGGTAGCTTGCCAGACCACTGTCTTCAGCCCCAACACCATCATAGCCGTACTTGACAAACACCTTCTCCCCATCCATGCTTTCAGCCGCTTCCTCCGGCATGGACGCGTCTGCACGTGAGTCTTTCCCAGGGTTCATTCGTAGCCAAAAGGGGTACCACGGTGACTTCTCAGGGTTGGACCCTTCCCGGAGGTGCACGACCTCAACGCCCGCCTGCCGGCACTTAGAAACCAGCTGCCCCACCCGTGCCATCATGTCAGGGAACGCGGCGGAAACGGCCGGGTTTCGGGAGTAGAAGTCTTTCTGCACGTCCACAACCACCAGCACGGCATCTCTAGCCATGGCTGGCGCTGGCACGTGTGTGGAAGCGGGCTGGGGAACAACGCGGAGCGCGGGCCCTAGAGGTCTCTTGTGGCTTGGGTTTCGGGTTAGGGTTTAGGGTTTAGAGTTTAGGGGTTCAGGGGTTTAGGGGTTTAGGGGTTTAGGGGTTTAGGGGTTTAGGGGTTTAGGGGTTTAGGGGTTTAGGGGTTTAGGGGTTTAGGGGTTTAGGGGTTTAGGGGTTTAGGGGCAGAAGTTCGTAGGGGCTTATAGCTTTCACAGGGCCTTAAGCTTGGTAGCCCAGTCACCATATTGGAATAAGGGTGCCTTCTTTGGGTTGGTTACGGTTGGTTGCTTTAGACGGGAACCTTGAACCAAAAAGAGGAAAAAGGTACCACTGGACCACCAAGTACCATACTGAACTTGGAACCCTAGCAAAAAATTTGAATTTTGGCTTTCTTCGAAATTATAGTACCCAAAAATGTAGAGTTATTCCCAAGTATCCCTAAGAGTAAGTTTCGTGCCTTGGTTGGGATGTTCCCCGTTATACGAACAGTCCTGAAATAGGGATTAGGGGGGGTACTAGAATCCCTACTAAGGACTGCTAGTATAAGGGGAACTTGGGTGTAGCAATCACTTAGTAGGTCCGTGACTTAGGGTTTAGGGCTTAGGGCTTAGGGTTTACGGGGTAGGGATCCAACCTGCAAGGCTGGAATCAGAGTTGCTGGACCTAGGATTTCTTGGGGGGCTTATTGGTGTTTGTTTGGGCATTTTGGGGGGTTTTTGGGGGGGGGCTTGGTGGGGTGTAGTAGGGCTAGGGGAGTGGGGGGAGGGGGAGGGTTTGGGGCTTCAGGGTTTCAGGGTTGAGGGGCCGGTTTGCAGGGTTGGGGGTTTCATTTGAATTGCCTAGAGCGAAACAGGGGCTCAGGGGCTTCTAGGCTTTTCGGGCCCGAAAGTCCCTAAACCCTAAACCCTAAACCCTAAACCGAAACCCTAAACTCTAAACCCCTAAGCCCCTAAACCCCTAAACCCCTAAACCCCTAAACCCCTAAACTCTAAACCCCTAAGCCCCTAAACCCCTAAACCCGTAAACCCCTAAACCCCTAAACCCCTAAACCCCGAAACTCTAAACCCTAAACCCCTAAACCCCTAAACCCCTAAAACCGTAAAGCCTAAACCCCGAAACCTGGGCTAGGCCCTTGGCCCTTGGGATACTCTCTATTTGCCTGTGTATAAGGACCTTCATGCAGAAACCTTCCAAGGGACACTTATAGTACTTCTTGTTAGGGTTTGGGGTTTAGGGTTTAGGGTTTAGGGTGTAGGGTTTAGGGTTTAGGGTTTAGGGTTTAGGGTTTAGGGTTTGGGGTTTAGGGTTTAGGGTTTAGGGTTTAGGGTTTAGGGTTTAGGGTTTAGGGTTTAGGGTTTAGGGTTTAGGGTTTAGGGTTTAGGGTTTAAGGTTTAGGGTTTAGGGTTTAGGGTTTGCACAAGTAACCTAGCCTCGGAGCATGCAGAAGGGATCAACAAGTCACGGTGCCGGGCCCCGACCTCCAAACTCAGGTCCAACTTGCGCTGCACGTCCTTCATGCGAGACCTGGGGAGGAGGCAGAAATCCAAGGCTCAGGATGTATGGGGTTTGGTGTTTAGGGTTTAGGGTTTAGGGTTTAGGGTTTAGGGTTTAGGGTTTAGGGTTTAGGGTTTAGGGTTTAGGGTATAGGGTTTAGAGCTTAGAACTTAGGGTTGATCCCAAACTAAAGCCCTAAACCACAAAGCTTCAAAGCCCTAACCCCTGAATGCTTAAGATCCCTTAGACCCCAAACCCAACTCCTTGACCCCTTAATCCCCGAATCACAAGACTTGACACACAATGCCTCCACCAAAGCGGGTTCATGCTTGGGCTGTAGGGCTTTTCGGTTGAGGGTTGAGGGTTTCAGGTTTAGTCAGGAAAACCCTAAACCCTAAATCCTAAACCCTAAACCCTAAACCCTAACCCCTAAACCCTAAACCCTAAACCCTAATTAGCGTCTATCTGCGCTTTGCCTCTGCAGCTCAAGGAAAGAGCCTTCCGAACTTGCTGAAATCCACCAAAACCACTAAAACCTGACAAAACTCCAGTACAACCTAGAAAAGCCCATTTATGGAACCTAGACTGTGTCATCATGCCATCAATGACTGAGACGTCATCGCTATGTCATTTTTTAATACCACAAAATTCCCGACAAAATCCCACAAAAACCACATTTTCCGGCTCCAGGTATGCAGTAAGTCCCACACAAACCCTCAAATTCCCCACTAAACCCCACAAAAACCCCACTCAAATCCCATTCCGGCTCGGTTCCAATTCAAGTTCTTTGCAAAGCAGGCTATCGAGCCAACATAAACAACATCACCTTTTCCCAACAACATCCCTGATCCCTGGTGTTTCCCACCACTCTTTAGGGAAGGAATTTGGCAGGATATCCATGGGATTAACACTGGATTAGATCGCCATGTGTCTGACTTAGTCTGACTTCAAGCAGACACTTGTTTCAAGATTTAGTGTTTAGGGTTCAGGGTTTACGGTTAGGGTCTCGGTTTAGGGTTTCGGGTTAGGGTTTAGGGTTCAGGGCTATCTGGGGAGGAACTCGAGACGCTCTGAGTTTCGGCCTGTTTGGACCTTGGTGATGCATTCCATCCTTGCTTTCCCGGCGTAAAAAAAGCCCGTAAGCCCCAACCCCAAACCCTTAACCCTGGCCCTAAACCCTAAACCGAGAAAACCCCGAAACCCGTGAAAAAACCTGCAACGCCTAAGCCCCGGACCCTAAAAAAGCGCTACAGCCCAAAGCCCAAACCTTAAGCCCGAAAAACCTAAACCCTAAAACCCTAAACCCTAAACCCTAAAACCCTAAAACCCTAAACCCTAAAACCCTAAACCCTAAAAACCCTAAAACCCAAAAACCCTAAAACCCTAAAACCCGAAAACCCTAAACCCTAAACCCTAAAATCCTAAACCCTAAAACCCTAAAGCCCTAAAACCCGAAACCCTAAAACCCTAAAACCCTAAAACCCTAAAACCCTAAACCTTAAACCCTAAAACCCTAAAACTCTAAAACCCTAAAACCCTAAAACCCTAAACCCTAAAACCCTAAAACCCTAAAACCCTAAAACCCTAAAACCCTAAAACCCTAAAACCCTAAAACCCTAAACCCTAAACCCTAAACCCCTAAACCCTAAAACCCTAAAACCCTGAACCCTAAACCCTAAACCCTAAACCCCAAAACCCGAAAACCCTAAAACCCTAAACCCTAAACCCTAAAACCCTGAACCCCAAAACCCTAAAACCATAAAACCTTAAACCGTAAACCCTAAAACCCTAAAACCCTAAACCCTAAAACCCTAAACCCCTAAACCCCGCAAACCCTACAACCCTAAACCCTAAACCCCCAAACCCTAAAACCATAAAACCCTAAACCCTAAACCCTAAAACCCTAAACCCCAAAACCCTAAAACCATAAAACCCTAAACCCTAAACCCTAAAAACCTAAAACCCTAAACCCTAGAACCCTAAAACCCTAAACACTAAAACCCTAAACCCCTAAAACCCTCAAACCCTAAACCCCACAAACCCTAAACCCTAAAACCCTAAAACCCAAACCCTAAAACCCTAAAACCCTAAGCCCTAAACCCCTAAACCCTAAACCCCAAAACCCTAAAACCCTAAAACCCTAAACCCTAAAACCTTAAAACCCTAAAACCCTAAAACCCTCAAACCCTCAAACCCTCAAACCCTCAAACCCTCGAACCCTCAAACCCTAAAACCCTAAACCCTAAACCCTAAACCCTAAAACCCTAAAACCCTAAAACCCTCAAACCCTAAAACCCTCAACCCTAAAACCCTAAAACCCTAAAACCCTCAAACCCTAAAACCCTCAAACCCTCAAACCCTCAAACCCTAAAACCCTAAAACCCTAAAACCCTAAACCCTAAACCCTAAAACCCTAAAACCCTAAACGGGCTGCGGGCCCCATGTCGGCCAGCTCGCGCGGGGACCTGCGGGCCGCGGGATCCGGTCGCTGGCATCTCAGGGGTTCGGGGTCGATGCAGTGGTTTCTTAGTGTTTGGGGTTCAAGGGCTTAGGGTTTAGGGGGTTTAGGGTTCAGGGTTCAGGGTTCAAGGGTTTAGGGTTTAGGGTTTAGGGTTTAGGGTTTGGTGTTTGGGGTTGAGGGTCTGGAGCTCATTTGTGCCCTTGTAGAAAGGGCTCGAATTCTGAATTCTACGACTGAGAGCTTTGGAGTTTTGGGCGTTCTGTTGTGCCTAAGGACCGTTTCAGGAAGAGTGCTACCAGGAAGGTTACCTTTTGATTTCAGGCTCATATAACTAGGGGCACTGAAGCTGATTCGATGACTCTCTAACGGGGTCGGTTCAAGCAGGCAGACACCAACAGACATCGAACTAAGCCGTCCGACAGCCTCAGTTTCTGCCGAGTCTGAACTGTGCACCTCTAACCGAAACCCAACATCCCAAACCCTGCACCCTAAACCCTAGACCCCTAACGCCTCCAACCCCACCGCTCCTCCTTCTCTTGCCTCCAGCTAAGACCAAGCGCCAGGAAAGGGGTCAGCGAGATGCGGTCATGAACTCTACGTTTCCTAGGGGGGGGGGGGTTCGGGTTTAGGGGTTTACGGTTCAGTTGAGGGGTGACGCTTCCAGGTTGACTTGCGGTGGAGGAGGGGCTGTGGGGTGTCCGAGTCTTTCAGTTGCGGCTCAGGCTTGAAGTAGAGTGGGTATTCTGGGTAGTTTAGACTGTGAATATTTCAATACAGCTTCCGAGCTTGCGGATTCCTCCTAGGCCTTAAACCATACAGTTGCTGGTAGGGGCTGCGTGTACCGTGCACTTTGCAATGCTAGACTCGAGCTGGAAGTGTCGAAGCGCGAGAACTCACTCAACTGCTCTATCTAGGAACCCTTGGCACTCCTTTAATGACAATAAGAATGATGACAAGTTGGGGTTTGGGGTTTAGATGCCCCAACCCTCCGAGATGCGAACAGTGTGTTGCTGACTGCGAGCCTCAACGGAACGCTGACCTAGAAGCACCACTGCCTGCACATGAACTGTAGAAGTCTCACATGCGATCATCCCCCGTTATAGGATCCCGAAAATGGGCACCCGCAATTTCTGAGATCCCCATCTTATCCGAAGGTGACCACGTCCTTTTTTGCACACCTCACAGTTGCGACAGCACACAGCGCAAGCACGTTGCAGCGACGGCCATTTGGCCAGGAGCCACAATCATCAGAAGAGTTGAGGGGGTAGTGGCTTGAGGAGTGATGCGAGCAACCATAATAGCTGTACTCCCCCTTAGAACTATGATGAGACACATGCCTAATAATTCTACGCATACCGTAGACACAGCCGCAATTTCAGTAGAAGCTTGGTCAGCAAGAAACTGCTGACTCAATGCCTGTCACAAGTGCAATGGCATGCCAAGACGAATCAGGACTCTTGGCACTCGAGTCGAAGGGACATGTTGCAGGACAAACTGCAAGCCCCGGCTATGCTTGCCCTGATAAGTACAGTAACCCTAAACCCTAAACCCTAAACCCTAAACCCTAAACTTCAAACCACGCCAGGTGGACCGAAGATTGTCCTGCACCAAATCCCTCCACAAACGGTCCCTCTCAAATTCGTTCACACAGGCGCAGTAAGCAAAGGGAGTGCTTTCAGTGCATCGAACGAGTGTCAGTCCCTTTCCTTGGTTGCACTGGGCATGTGAAATACTAGCTGATGGTTTGCAGGACTGCGGGGCAGTCTATGCTCCCCAAACAAAGCCCCCGTATACCAGCAGTTCCCATCCAGAGAATCCCCCAAAAGGGTTCCTACCTAACTTCACGATGCTCTCAGCCTTTGGAAGAACTGGATTGCTCTTGCTCTCAAGGGGGGGGGGGGGTTGGTTGAACTAAGTCCTCTTAATATGTAGGGTAGATGAGGTCTCCCCACCGTGGCCACTTAGAGGGTTCAGGGCCTGCTTCTCCTCAACCCTAAACCCTAAACCCTAAACCCTAAACCCTAAACCCTAAACCCTAAACCCTAAACCCTGAACCCTGAACCCTGAACCCTGAACCCTGAACCCTGAACCCTGAACCCTTCTCAAAGCAGCCCGGGCTTCAACAGCAGCGGATTCGAGCCAATAGGAGGGAGGGGGGGGTGATGATCGAAATCGGTCTCTATGACTGCTCAACCCCGAAACCCTAAACGGGGGCCTCTTGGACTCTTGGGATCCTGAACCCAAAACCCTTCTTTGAAGGAAAGCTTTTGACGTTCATGGTTTAGGGTTTAGGGTTCAGGGTTCAGGGTCTGGGGTTTAAGGCTTCGGGTTTAGGGTTTAGGGTTTAGGGTTTAGGGTTTAGGGTTTAGGGTTTAGGGTTTAGGGTTTAGGGTTTAGGGTTTAGGGTTTAGGCTTTAGGCTTTAGGGTTTAGGGTTTAGGGTTTAGGGTTGAGGGTTGAGGGTTTAGGGTTTAAGGCTACCTCGAGACAAAAAAGACAAGTCTCCCGAAGAGAACAGGACCGACAGCCCAGCTGCTGCCTCCCAAGACGGCTTTGTGATCTACAGCTACGGAATTGCAATATTCGGTTTAGGGTTCAGGGTTTAGGGTTTCGGGTTTAGGGTTTAGGGCTTAGGGCTTAGGGCTTGGGGTTTAGGGTTTAGGGTTTAGGGAATCCGCCGAGGCCTCGGGCCGAAGGTGTATTGGTAGTCAGAACAGGCACCCCCCTCCAAATCCTCTGGCCCAGGCCCAAAGCCCTTTTCGGACCACTTTTTTTGCCTCAAATGGGTACCCCCCCTAGGTGAGCAGGGTCCGCAAGCGGATGGTTCGCCAGGACCAGAGGCAGTTGCAGCCCTTCCCAGCAGGGCCCCCCCCTTTTTCACTGCCCAGAGCCCCCCCCACCCTTCCCCCCCCCCCCCCCCCTACCCCCCCCCCCCCCACCCCCCCCCCTACCCCCCCCCCTAACCCCCCCCCCCTACCCCCCCCCCTACCCCCCCCCTCCCACCCCCCCCCCCACCCCCCCCCCCAACCCCCCCCCTGCCCGCACTCCCCCCCCCTACCCCCCACACAGTCCCTCCCCCAAAAGCCACATGAGCGGCTGGGCTAATGGACGCAACAAGAGGGGCTTGATGTTTGTAGGTGTCGCTATAGCACACCCAATGGTTCATAACCTAGGGGTGTCGCTTTTCAAGTGTTCCCATCGTTTTACAGGGTTTTCCCCTTGCTTAATTGAATGTGGGGGTTTTGGCGCTTGCTCACATAAGGTGTTTGTGAAAGGCTGCTCCGACGCGCTGGCTTGAGGGCCGGAGGCTCACTGGTGTGAGCACGGCCGCAAATCCGCCGAGGCCTCGCCCCCTTTCCCCCCCCCACCCCCCCCCACCCCCACCTCGCCCCCCGGTTTTCGAGGCTCAACTCCGGGGACGAAGAGTAACCGAAACCCGAAACCTTCAATCTTAGCTCCCCCCCCCCTTTCCCCTCTGCCCCCCTTCCCCCTCCACCCCTACCCCCCCTGAGGGGCCTGGCTCAACCCTACGATCAATCCAAGCCGAACCGTCTCTTGAACCCTAAACCCAAAGCCCTCAATCCTAAACTAACCCTCAACCCTAAACCCCAGACCATAAACCATAAACCCGGAACCCTAAACCCGACTTGGGCGCTGCGGAATCACCATGCTCACGCGGATGCGCTGGGCCGGGCCGAGGCGGGTCGCGTAGCGTTAAAATTAGGGTGCTAAGGAACCCTCACTGAGGGAGTGGGGATTGTGCGAGACAAGTTCTGGACCCTTGCTAGTCGTTCTGGGTCTCTCCACGAAAGAACCTTAGCTTTTGTTCTCAAAACTCGGAGCTCAAGTTTGGTATCCATTTTGGTTTTGTTGGGTAAGTGGGACTGGATCAGAATGCGGCAAGCACCTTTCTGAGAGCAGTAAAAACACATTTCGTGTTTTAGGGCCTCTCTCTCCCCCTCTCCCCCAAGAACTCAACCTCAAACCCCCACATCCCTAAGCCCTAAACCCTAACCCTCATTGTGAACCCTCCAAGTTTGCCCAGCAACCTTCTAATCAAGAGCAGGGCTTACAACAACAAGCTAAGCCCCAAAAGGGAGTCCTACTGCGCACCCTCGAACCTTTTACGGTTTAGGGTTCAATGTTTAGGGTTTAGGGCTTAGGGGTTAGGGGTTAGGGTTTAGAGTGTAAAGTTTAGGGTTTAGGGTTTAGGGTCTAGGGTTTAGGGTTTAGGGTTTAGGGTCTAGGAAACCCTGAACCCAACAAGCCAACATCCCTGCTCAGGCAGCCCAACCTCTATCCCTCCACGAGCCTCTCCGCTGCTCAGGCATCAACCTGCAAGCAACATTCTAGGGCTTAGGGTTTGGGGTTTGGGGTTTAGGGTTTAGGGTTTAGGGTTAGGGTTTAGGGTTTGGGGTTTAGGGTTTAGGGTTCCTGGCCCCCCCTCCCTTAAGAACCCTATAGCAACCGAAAGCTTCCTGTGGGATCGGGGCTTCGACCGTTTGGGGTTTAGGGCTTAGGGTTTAGGGTTGAGGGTTCAGGGTTAGGGTTTAGGGCTTAGGGGTTAGGGCTTAGGGTTCTCAAAGCGATCGGATTGTCGAGCTGAATCCAGCGACCCGAAAACACAAAAGCTCTTTAACGCCCTAAAGTAACCCCTAGCAGTAACAACCTGAAACCCAAACCCTCAACCCAAAACCCAAACAGCCCTAAACCCAAGCCAACGGCCCTAAACCCAAGCCCTACACTGCCGCCACAAACGGCCCTAACAAAACCCTAAAACCCTAAAACCCTAAAACCCTAAAACCCTAAACCCTCAAAACCCCAAAACCCTAAAACCCTAAAACCCTAAAACCCTAAAACCCTAAAAACCTAAAACCCCAAAAAACCAAAAAAAAAAAAAAAAAAAAAAAAAACGAAACCCGAAACCCTAAACCCCTGCGAGGCCCCCCAACCCAGCCGCGCCTTGCTCATGTGGATTGCCAG